CTTATCCTAGAAATAAATTCTATCAGAAGAACTTATTGCAAAGAGACGTTGGAAATTCAAAATAGACAAGGAAAATAATATTTTAGGAACAACTTGAAAATCAAGTTGAAATAAAATATTATCTTGTCAGGCAAGTTGACAATCAAATCAAAATTGAAGACCCACCATTGTCAACAATATCAGGCTACAAGATTCAAAATTCAAAAATAAAAATATCCCACTCCAACGGATATATTTGATTATCTATAAAAAGGCCATGAAGACTTGAAGAGAAACATAGCACAAGAACGAGAACACATGAGACACACAATAGAAGCTAAGGAACAAGTGCAAGTGCTAAATATTCTTTGAAATATCTAGAAGAGAGACTTAGTCCGAATAGTCTCAAAAATAGTTGGAGAGAGATACAATTACTTTTGTATTTGTAATTGTAAAAAGAGTATAGCTATGTGCAAAATACTCTAGTAAGTGTAGCTGTGTGCAAAACACTCGTAATTGCTAAGTGTAGCTGTGTGCAAAACACTTAGTTGGCGTTTGAGTATAGCTGTGTGTGAAATACTCGGAGTTGAGTGTAGCTGTGTGCGAGACACTCGGAGTTGGATATAGCTGTGTGCAAGACATCCGGAAGAGGTGCTTGTGTAGCGCTTAATCACTATTGTAACTGTGTGTGGAAAATAGTGAATTACTCCTAGAAGTGAATGGAGTAAAGTGGACTAGGAAGATTACGCCACTTCCAAACCACTATAAATTGCCTCTCTCATTTACATACCGCACTTACATAATTTGCTTTATCTATTTATCTTATTTGACTAACCCGTTTACTATTCACGGTCTATCTTAATCTTTCGGGTTTAGTGTGTTTTCACGTATGCATGTAACTCAAACTTTCCATGCTTAACATTTGATTTACTCTAAGCAAGTTTGACGTGTTGCATGTGACATTTATCATACGGCTGACGTGACACGAAGTCTTATTTATAATCTTGAATACTATTGTTAAATATTGAGTGAACCATCTCCTTTAAATATTCAAGATATTCATGTCATCCTTACACATCATCTGAGCTTATCTTACACGTGCATGTGATTCAATTTATTGATTGGGCATAACTCTTTACACATATTTATTTCGCTGTGCAGCTCAAGTTAAACTCTTCTCTATTTACTTGTTACTTAAAGTTGAAGTTACCAAAGAGTTGTTTATTGAGAAAAAGTTTAGAAAGTCTATTCAGCCCCCCCCCCCCCCCCCCTCCTCTAGACTTTCTACCATCCTATCGGGACCAACAATTGGTATCAGAGCAGTTTTCTAATTGAGTCAACTTTGACTGCTAGACAGATCTTGAAAAATCAAGATGATGAAAAGAGATATGGCTCTTGCCCAAAATTTATTATTTTCCTTAGAAAAATTTGATGATTGGAAAATTCGCATGCAGGTACATTTATCCACATTACATGATGAAATGTGGAAAGTGATCACTAGTACGGTCCTATTGAAATTTTGCAAGTCAATACTTCATCCGTACAAACAAGCGACACTCAACAATACATTCCAAAACCGAAGGTGGAATGGTCTCGTGAAGATAGAACAAGAAATAACTTGGATAATATTGCCAAGGATATTTTGTTTAAATCTATCGATGACACGATATTTCCAAAGGTTCGAAAATGCCAATCCGCAAAAGAAGTTTGGGAAACGCTCATTCAAATTGGTGAAGGAGATGAGCAAGAAAAGGATAATAAACTCACCATAGCATTAAAGAAATTCGAGGATTTCAAAATGCTAAGCGGCGAGAATATTACCGACATGGAAACGAGATTTGCCAAAATCTTAGGAGCAATTAATGATGTTGGAAAAGACAATTATCAAAAGGAAGTCTCACTCAAATTCCTACATGGTCTACCATCTACATGGGATATGAAGGTCACGGCCATGAGAGATCATAGAGATCTAAAAACCCTATCAACCGATAAGCTGTTTAGTGATCTAAAGGCTTATGAATTTGAAATGAAGTCAAGGATCGAGGAAGATCATAAAGAAAAGAACAATACGCTCATAGCCGAGCAACCATCAACCTCAAGGTCAGTACAAAATGAATTATTGCCTAATGATCAATTTGCTCTCTTTGTCAAAAATTTTAGGAAATTCATGAAGAGGAGCAACTACAAGAAAAATCCACAAGGAAAACCATGGAATGCAACGAAAAATTCGAAGAAAGAAATGGTTGAGGAAGATTCAAATCTGTGTTACAATTGTAGAAAGTCGGGACACTTTGTAGCAAGTTGTCCACCCCTCACGGTAAGTAAAAGTCAATACACAAATATTTCTAACCCTCAACAGGAAGAATTCAAGACCAAAGATAAAAGGTCCACAAAGGAGAGAAGAAAAGTACTTATTAGTGACCCACTAGAAACAAGTGAGTCAGAGGAATCTTCAAGTGATGAAAGTGACACCTCAAAAGATGACAATGCAATGTTTTGCATGAGTATCTCCAACAACTCATCCTACGAAGACATGTGTCTTATGGCTAATGAAGATAAAGAAGATGAGGTAACATCTAAATCTTATGACTTTGTAAACTCTTAATTCTCTAGAGAGTCCTTCTTTCACTTAATGAAAGATTGTTAAACTGTAATGGACACTCACTCTCAACTCAAAGAGCGCAATAATCTTTTAATTCTTGAAAAAGATGAATTAAACGAAAATTTGCAAAATGCTCTATTGGAAGTGAAAGACTTGAAGGATAAAATTAATTGTCTTCAAAAAGAGTGTAAATCAAGGGAAGTGAGAGAACACAACCTTAGAGAGATTATAACAACATTTACACATTCATCCAAAATAATGGATAAAATGCTAAATATCCAAAAAGCCTCAAGTGATAAAACCGGACTTGGTTATGATCCATCGTGTTCTCAAGCTTCTGAGAAATTGACCAATTTTACAACTACTTTAAACAATAAAGTTCAAGTGGTAAAATTTGTAAAAAGTCAAGATAGCACAATGAGACAAGGAATTGGTTGCCAAACTAATGCCAAATTTAATGCTACAAGGTTGAAGCCTCAAAGAAATAATATTTCGGCTAAGCAGTTTATAAAAAGGCAAAAGTTTGTTCTTAAATGGAAACACACCAATGAGTCAAGTGCAAAAAGCCCTCATAGAAAAATGGGAAGGAATTCGAGGATTGGGGCAGGGAGATTTTATCCCTCTGAACAAGATTGGTTTGATAATATTAAACCATGGACTAAGTCCAGATTTAATGCCTATCATAGGCTCAAACAATCTTCTTCCCAAGTGCCAAAAAATCGAGTCAATTTTCAAAAATCGGCACCAAAAATGTTTTCAAAAATCAGTTATGATTATAATGTGTTTAATGGTTACCAATCACCTAAACTTAGATCAGTGAGTACAAGGTGGATTTGGGTACCAAAAATGACTAACACCCAAGGACCCAAATCATGTTGGGTACCTAAAAATGTGTAATTTATTTGCAGGAAATTTGGTACTTCGATAGTGGATGTTCTAGACATATATGACTGGAAATAAATCTAGTCTTGTGAATTTCAAAAATATCGAAGGACCAAAAGTCGTATTCGGTGGAAATGAACGATACGACATAACCAAAGGAATTGGTACAATATCCCGCAATGGCTTAGAAATTGAAGATGTATCCTTTGTTGAAGGTCTAAAATTCAACTTGTTAAGTACAAGCCAATTTTGTGACAATGGATACCTAGTATAATTCTTCAAAGACAAATGTCAAGTGAAGAGTGATTCCACGGGAGAAGTTGTGCTCGAAGGAATAAGGAAGAAAAATATGTATGTGGTTGATTGGAACACAACAAAAGAATCAGTATGTCTACTAGCAAACAACTCACACGCAACAAGTTGGGAATGGCACAAAAAGTTGAACCATCTAAACTTCAAGACCATCAACAAGCTCGCAAGAAATAAACTAGTTGAAGGTCTACCCGACAATATTTACAAGAAAGATCAAATATGTGATGCTTGCCAAAGAGGAAAACAAATCAAGTCATCATTCAAATCCAAGACTCAAGAATCTACAACAAGACTGCTAAGTCTACTACACATGGATCTCTTCGGTCCAGTAGACCCAGTAAGTATAAGTGGTAAGAAATACACACTAGTAGTTGTTGATGATTTTTCCAGGTACACATGGAGGATATTTCTCAAAAAAAAAAAAAAATGAAGTAGAACAAAAACTGCCAGAACTTCTAAAGCTACTACAAAACGAGAAAGACCTGAAAATTGCTAAAATTCGAACCAATCGTAGAACTGAGTTCATGAACCAAGTGATCCAAGCCTACTGCAATTCTCAAGGAATTCTACTTCAATTATCTGTCGCACGTACACCACAACAAAATGGTGTAGCTGAAAGAAGAAATAGAATGCTAAAAGAAGCCGCACGTGTGATGATTACGCCAGCCGAGCTACCTAAAAGATATTGGGCTGAAGCAATCAACACCGCATGCTACACGCAAAATCAAAGCTTGATACACAAGTCTTACAATAAGACTCCGCACGAATTATGAAAGGGAGAAAACCTAAACTCAACTATTTTCATACGTTTGGTATCAAATGCTTTATTCTTAATAATGGTAAAACATATCTAAAGACTTTTGATGAGCGTGCAAATGAAGGAATATTTTTGGGATATTCATCTACCAGTAAAGCTTTCAGAGTATTAAACGAAAGATCAATGGTGGTAGAAGAATCAGTTCATGTTACATTTGATGAAGTCCACAAGAAGGAAACCCAAAGCAACAAAAATGATCAGGAAAGTTTTCAAGTTGAAAAATCATTTAATGATGCTGACATATCTTTTAAAGATAATGTTGTACAGGGAATAGACCAAGTGGACATTGATTACAATAGTGAAGGACACGTGGAAGAAAATAAAGAACCACACGTGGAAATACAAAATTCTCAAGCAGAAGTACAAGTTGGAGAACAATCTGAGGAGCAAATTGAGTCTACCTCCAACTTACCTACTGAGCAAGGAAAGGTGGAAAATCCATGCAATCTACAACCTGATTTGAGATGGCTTAAAAATCACCCTCCAGAGCTAGTAATTGGAGATCCACGAGAAGGAGTAAAAACAAGATCCTCAAATATAGATGCTTTATTTTCTTGTTTTCTTTCTCAGTGGAACCTACAAGCATTGAAGAAGCCCTAAATGATCCGGACTGGATTAATGCAATGCAAGAAGAGCTAGATCAATTAAAAAGAAATGATGTATGGGAATTAGTTCCAAGACCCGAAAATTACAATGTAATTGGATCAAAATGAGTCTTCTGGAACAAAGCCAATGAAGAAGGAATTATTGTTCGAAATAAAGCAAGATTAGTGGCAAAAGGATATTCACAAGAAGAAGGAATAGACTTCGACGAAACATTTGCACCCGTTGCAAGACTTGAAGCTATCAGAATATTTCTAGCCTATGCCGCGTACAAGAATTTCACTGTCTACCAAATGGACGTGAAAAGTGCATTCTTAAATGGGTTACTTGAAGAAGAAGTCTACGTCGAACAACCACCCGGTTTCGAGTTAAAAGGTGATATTAATAAGGTCTACAAATTAAAGAAGGCATTATACGGGTTAAAACAAGCACCTAGAGCTTGGTATGACACCTTATCAACGTTCTTAATTAAATGTGGTTTCACAAAAGGCCTTGTTGATAAAACCTTATTTAGAATTCAAGAAAATGATCATATTTTATTAGTACAAATTTATGTTGATGATATTATTTTTGGAAGTACTAATAAAACTTTATGTGAGAAATTTTCTAAGCTCATGCAGAATAGGTTTGAGATGAGCATGATGTGAGAGTTTGAACTACTTTCTTGGATTACAAGTAAAGCAACTCAACGATGGAATATTCATCAATCAAGCCAAATACACAGAAGATCTTATTAAGAAATTTGGTCAAGATGGAAAATCCTCAATCAAGATCCCGATGAGCACGTCTTTAAGATTGGATAAAGATGATGAAGGCAAGGATGTTGATGAAACAAAATATCGAGGAATGATTGGATCATTACTATACCTCACTGCAAGTCAACCAGATATATCCTACTCAGTTGGAGTATGTGCTAGGTTCCAATCAAAGTTGAAAGAAAGTCATTTTCTTGCTACCAAGAAAATCATTCGATACCTCAAATGAACAATCAATGTGGGATTATGGTATCCCAAAGAAGGTAATTTTACACTAACTGATTTTTCAGATGCAGATTTTGCAGGATGTAAAATCGACCGAAAAAGTACCTCAGGGACATGCCAGTTCTTAGGGAGAAGATTGGTATCTTGGTTTAGCAAAAAGCAAAATTCCATAGCTACAAGCACTGCCGAAGCTAAATATAATTAAGGGATTAATTAAGTAATTAATCCTATTTCAATTTGTGATTTAATTCCTTAAATTCCTGAAATTTAATAGTTGGGGACTAGTAATTGACTAGTCAACCCCAAAGTCAAAGTTGTACATTGAGCTTTGTAGGGAGTTCCCTTGTTCCTTACACTTCCTTATGTTAGTAAGAGTATTCTTGACCTTTCAGTTGTTGTTGGTATTGTAACCTAACCTAGTATACCACCTTCATTCTCTCCTTACACTTTTCTAAAAATCTAGCTCCACCTTCTCTCTAAAAAGGTGAGTAGCTTTTCTTCCAAGCCAAGTTGAAACTTTGCCAAAACTTCAAGAGTTGCTTCCAAGATTCAACCTTTCATATATTTGGGCATCTAGGAGGGTAAGATCTAAGTTCATCTTGTGTTTTTGGTTTTATCTAAGGTGTCTTTTCTTAAAGATGAGATCTTTATGATCTTTTGGTATGTTCTTGAAGTGGGTTTGGAAGGTGAGCCTTGAGAGGATCTTGTTGAGGTGTAAAGTAAAGTCTTTAGTCTACAAGAGGTAACCCATGCTCTACAAAATCTATTTTGCTTACCTATATGAATATTTCTTGGATTCTACATGTGTTTTTGCTATGAAATGTGAGTGTTTATGCATTGTCTTGTGAAAATGCATATCTAGAGCTTGTGTTTAGGGTTCATTTGTGCCATTGCTTGGCATTTCCTTTGATTCAAGTCATTTTGTTGTATTTGGTGAGATTTGGCATGTTTTGGACTTGAATTTGAGTTTGGAGATGAAAATTCGCGAAGTGTTTTGTTGTGGTATAGGGGTGTACCCACGGGCGGAACGGCGGGTAGGGGTCCAACCCGCCGGCCACCCGCGGGGTACACAGGTTGGGCAGCCTGTACCCGCGGGCGGAACCGCGGGTATTGGCCTACCCGTGGGCCTACCCGCGGGTACGTATTGTGGTGATGGCGGGGATTTGTTCCCCGTGATTCTTTTGACTCGATATTTGGTCTTTTGACTTCCCGATGTTCTTTTGTGGAACTATTTGAGCGTCTTCTTGATGTTTCGTATGTCTAGAACTATATGGTAGGAATCCATGTAGGTTTTGGTGTCTTGAATCGTGCTAAGTGTTCAACATTGTGTTTCGTTGAACTGTGATGAGTCTTGTGTGTTCTTCGGAACTACATTTGGTTTACCCGTTTGATGAGCATGCTAGTTCGGTGTTTAAATGCTAGCGTGTGTGTTGTTTGTACCTTCCTATTGGTTGATGATAACTTGTGTTATTCATCGTTGTTGTTGTTGGGTTGTGACCCATTCCTTGATTGAGTATGGTTTTATATCTTCGTTGTGATCCGTTGATTGTTTCCTGTTGTGGTGTGATGTGTGTGTGGCTTTACCTAGATTGCACGATTAGTGGTATGGGACACTAGTCACCAAGGTATTGCAGCGGTCCTCGTGGTGGCCGTGACGTGATTATGGAGTTGTGACCTTTGAGTAAGGTTCACGTGATTCTTGGGTGGCATGTGTTGCCGTGTGTGTGTACGGTACCCTCGTGTACTATGAAATCGGTGGTCTCGTTGGTGGTCATTGGTGGGGGACGACGGTCTCAGGAGGGAAAAGGTTGGACTAAGAAGTACAGGGGTCCTGGAGGTAATGGTTGGAAGAAGATACAAGGTTGGGGGTAGCCATAAGGTTAGAACCGGGCATAAGGAATGCATATCAACTCGTTGTTGTTCTTTGTAGTTTTGGGATGTGTTCTCGTATCCTTGTTGAGAGTGTTGCGTCTTGTGTTGACTATTGCTCTTGGTTTTGTACTTATATACTTACGTATTCCGTTTCGAAAATGGCTTTACAACTTATATCTTATCTATGTATGTTATTTCACATGTATTGGTGGGTTACCAGCATTATTCGCTGACCGGGCGTCGTCCCATGTTTTATTGTGTTCTTTCAGGTGATGTCTAGACGAGTGCGCGGTCTAGTGCTTGCTAGTATAGCTTCTCCTTCTTTGTTTTGTGGTCTGTGTGCCAGTTTAGATGTAGCACTTTGAGACTATGGGTTTAGATGTAAACATTGCAGATGTTGCCGTAACGTTCATCCTTTTGGTGAACGTGGCATAACACCCCATGTTTCGGATTATGTTTATCTAGTTATCTTTCAGTCTTCTGCTGTGTTTGTTGTTTAGCTCAGTTATCTGCGTGTTTAAGACTTTTAAATAGCTTGTTTTTAGGGGGTGTTACATAGCAGCTGGGAGTTGTTGCGCATAAATTCTTTGGATGAAGCAGCAATTAAAAGATTACGGTGTAAATTGCGAAGACGTTAGCATATTTTGTGATAATACAAGTGCAATCGCAATCACTCAAAATCCCGTGCTACATTCAAGAACTAAGCACATTGGCATGAGACATCATTTTATCGGTGATCACATCGAAAAGAAGAATCTGAGAATAGAATATATTCCAACGGAAAATCAAACATCTGATATCCTCACAAAACCCTTGTGCGAATCAAGGTTTGCAAAATTGAGACACGAGATGGGCATGATCGAACTGAGCTAAGTCACCAAATCTCATTTAACTATAAGCTCAATTCTTGTTCGAATTAAATGATCTTATATATTTTTTTGGTCACATTCTTTTTATATGCCTATGTGTCCAACATGCACCAAAATTTCACCTCCTAGCATCTAGGATAAGTTGTCTTAAAATTTTTTTTATTGCCTTTCTCTTTAACCGTGTATATATAAATTTATAAGATTTTCTTACATGCAATATCTACCTTATTTATGTGTGACAAGATAGTTGTGATGATTGCCTATTAGCTTAAATAAGAGCATCTAGTTATGGTAGTTGAAAGCATTTACTCCATCACATTTATTTAGTTGTCTATTTATCTAAATATTTTTTTTTTGGCCACTATCACTTTTATTTTTATTATTATTGTTATTGGAATAGACTTAGTACTTTCTTTTGTGTGGCAGGTCAAAATTAATTTTATACTTCTAAATTTGGCGCCACAAAGCAGACAAACCGAATGGAGAATATAAAACCTAGACTGACAATTAGTTATGTCAACGAGTGGAATTGCAAAAATACCCCTCAATACTTAGGAGTCCTAAACCAAAATTGAAGGACCTCTTCGTAAAACACCCCTTCCACTCAACCGGTCAAAAGGTCAAAAGCCATCATCTTCTCCACTTTACAACCTTTCCAAACACCTTCGAAACTCTTCATCTTCCATAGCCGAACTCTCTTCAAATTTTTGCATCTCCCAATCACCATCAACCCTCGACTACACAATGGCAACAATCGGACAATCAAGTTCACAAGTTAATGAAGAACAACCCTTGCAGATTAATCTCACCAAGCTGGCCACCAATGTCAAAGCCGGAGGAAGCTTCAACCCTACTGGATTTCTCAAAACTGCCAAGAATTCGGAGCTTGCCCAAAGGATCATCCATGCAATACAAAACAATGGTCTAATGAGGTTATGTTCTTATTCCTACTCTGGATATTATGATGAGGATGTAGCCGATTTCTATGTCAATGCCAAGGTGAATGGTTGGATAATTGAGTCCACTGTTAATGGAACTCCTATCTCCATTGGAGAAAATGAGTTATACTCAACCTTTGGACTGCCCATGTCTACC